GCGTTTGGAAAGTTTTGAAATGTGGTTATTTCGAAGGATGCTGAAAGTCCCCTGGACAGCGCATATGAGCAACGAGCAGGTCCTACACAAGATGGGTACCGACAGAGAACTCTTAAAAATAATGAAAACACGGAAAACCTCATATTTGGGACACATATACAGAAATGAGAAATACCAGCTACTGCAGCTTCTTATAGAGGGGAAGGTAGAAGGAAGACGTGGTCCTGGTAGACGGCAGGCGTCCTGGTTGAAGAACATTCGTGAGTGGACTGGTTTGGATTCTCAATCTTTAATAAGAAAAGCCAGGGACAGAAATGATTTTGCTGAGGTTATCGCCAACCTTCATTGAAGACGGCACCCAAAGAAGAAGAAGACATTTGAAAGATTAACCATGGCAATTGTTAATTATTACTAAATGATGGGAAATGTGTGAATCTCCTCTGTTTATTGATTTATAACTCGGGATGCTTTTATGCTCGGGATCATCAATCAAAACAGGAAGTGAAAATGCTCTAAAACTAAGAAAAACCGGAAAAATTGTGGGACCTGATGAAATACCCGCAGAAGCAATTATTAATTGGGCAATTGTGTTACTTCGAAATAGTAGAAAATCAGTCTGGATTGACTTTTTCAATGCAATATACAAGATGGATGTAATTTCGAACCATGCATTATGCTAGACTATAGGGAGTGGGAGGAATGGGAGCCACTTAAGAAAATAATTTTTTAAATCATAATGTTAGCCTTTAAACAAATTTAAATATTGATATAGGAAGGCTTACATGCATATTTTTGTTATATATGACAGTTTTTCTAATAAGTAAGGATAATAAATTTTGATTTAAAATCTATGAAAGACAACCCTGAAATTAGTATTTCCACCACTAGAGAAAAAACCCAGTACCTTCTGCTCGGTTACATATACAGGCAAAATATCAACAAAAATAGCCAAACACATAAAAAAGAAAGGAATAACACCAGCTTTCAGAACAAATAACAACTTAGACAAATATATTAACAAATATATTATAAAACAACAAGAGCTAAAATAGACAGCACTTACACAGTGGTGTATACAAACTTAAATGTGGCGACTGCACAAAAACTTACATTGGTCAAACTTGTAGAAATTTCAATAAACCAGTAGCAGAACATAAAAGGGCTTTCAATAATAGAAAAACAGATTCTACATACGCACTTCACCTTCTAGATCATAAACATCCTTTTAATGACGAATTTAAAATTCTTCAAATTCAAAATCCCTTAAGCTATCAAAAGGCGTTAAGCTATCTTTGTTAGCATCTATAGAAATTAAAAAATTAAAAAGCACAGATATAATTCTGCATAGAAATACGTGCTTGGCGGAGGAAGGCGATGGATAGGGACGACTGGAAGAGAATTCTTGGAGAGGCTAGGACCCACACAGGGTTGTAAAGTCAAGATGATGATGATGATGATGATGATATAATTCTGAATAACCAACTTGAGACAAACAGTTCTCCCCTCCCCAACCTATTTCATTAAAGACTATTAAGTGTAAACGCATGCCAAAAATAAATCACTTGAGAAAGGCAATCAGCCGAAACGGCTGTAGTGCTAAGATTATATAATAAATTTTTGTGGAAGTTTTGAAAACAAGGTTTTCAGTGTTTTATTGTTACATAAAATGAATTTCCATCAAGTAACGGTCGAATCCATCAATTATTTAAAAGAATTCAAAACAGGACTTTTGACCATATTATTTTCAACTCTCATTTTGCTTGTCCAAACAAAAGTCCTTTTAGGGATCTCTGTACCCAAACATTAAGAATGAACTTCCGTAACTAGGGCATCGATACCACAATTCATTTTTTCCATTACCGTCAAAAATAATATATTGAATTTTGTCATTATCAAGATCTTCGCAATCACACAACCTTGTTTCACCTTCTGAATTTGACGATTCGTCGGAAAAAACCTTTTTCACTTTGCGTTTGGGCATTTTCAATTTCTGTTGGGGTTTTAATTTATTTGTAAATTTTGACTTTACGGTTGAATATTTTCATTTTCTGGTGATGAAGCAAAAATCTGCCGTTCTTGTCTTTTCTCTTGTTTTTCTTCTAAAAATATTTTCAGTGAGGTTTCAGTTAAAATTATTAAATGTTGTTTTTGTCTTGAATTCTTTTTTATGTTCTTTGGCATTTCTGGATCGTGGGAAATAATAATTGAAATAATGTCAAAAATTTATGGAGTGTTAAGGCTTCTGTCTGTATTTTCGTCATCCCATCTTGAACATCCTGGTTGAGGAAAATCTGAGTCGGTTTTTGATGGTGTCTTATTTTTTAAAGTTCGTGAGAGAGTCATATTAGTGAAGATGTTTATATCTGAATTCTCTTGAAGATTATCTTATATATTTACGTAAACTAGTAGTTAACCATCGTATGTAAAATCTGTAATAAAACAAATATTTGGTTGAATCGGAAAAATGCCAGTGCCTTTGAAACCTGATATTGCTTTGTCTATTTAGACTACTCTAATGTATGCTTCATCAAAGATGCTTGCAACATTATAAGGTGTTATCTAAAATAAATTATTCGATCTCATGTATAGGTCACATTTCTTATAATATGCCTTATTCAAGGGTCCTAAAAACGTAACTTCCAATGGCTGCATTTGGTGAGATGAATGCAGCGGTAGTGACAACATAGTTACAAAGTTGTCCAATAAGTTATAGCTTCAAGTGTTAAGTGACTAGAATGGTTGCCTTGCAGTAGCAGAATTGGCTAGTGTAGACTCGGATTTGTGAATTTAAAAAAATGCTTTAGCCATAATAGATACATCTCATCGTTGGTCTAGCCAATAAATTTATCTGATATTTTGCATCAGTGTGTCCGCCTTTAGCCAGTAATGGTAAACATCGTTTCATTGGAATCAAAAAGAACGGTGATAAATACGATCCAACGGCACTCAGTTCAATATAGCAACAGTGCGGCTAGATATGAAGTTATCAAACCAATTCAAGACCGAGACAGGTGTTAAACAAAGATACGTGTTGCCACTTGACTTATTCAACATTTATGGTAAATATGCCATGACGATGGCTTTAAATAAATGGGCCGGTGGAGTAACAGTGGCTGATAGGAAAATCTCAAATTTAAGATTTGCTGATGACCCTACACTTATAGCAGAAAATGCACAAGAAATATTTAATCTTCTGCGAAGAGTTGAGTACGAACGCAATAAAGTTGGTCTGAAATCAAAAAAGCCAAGAGCAAAGTAATGGTGGTCGACAGATTCTACACTATTCAACTAACTAACATGTTACAGGAATACCAGATAGTGTACAGTTTTGTCTATCACGGATCCAGCATAACTAACCATGGTTACTGTGAAGCTGAAGTTCGGAGACGTATTGGTATGGAAAAAACGACAGATCTATCTCTCAAAATATCGAGATGAGACTGGTGAATGCCCTTGTATTCTTAACATTTGTATACGGGGAGAGGCTTGGACTCCTCGCGGACACGAGCGCCAAAAAATGGAATCCTTTGAGATGTGGTGCTGGAGCAGAATGCTGCGCACACCTTGGACAAATCATAGGACAAACGTTTCCATTCTAAACCAATTCGAGATAAAAAATAGACTATCCACAATACATCTGCATTATATTCTGCAATTTTTCGGTAACTTGGTTCGCAGAGGTGACGATCGTTTGGAAAGATTAATTGTTTCTGGAAACGTCCGGGGAGAAGATCAAGAGGACGATCACCAACTAGATAGTCCGATCAAATTAAGAATGTAACTGGAAACTCATTCTGCAAAGCTCTTAGGACAACTGAAGATAGAGACCAAACGAGAAAAATTGTAAGGAACATTGAAAGAAATCACGATCCTCAGTAATGGGGAAACGGCAAGACAGATATAACAGCTTCAAGATTTTTAAAGGATTTTGTTTGAAAAAATCTTTTAGCCAGTCTCTTTTAGCCAACTGCTTCTGGATATAAAAACGAGGCTTTATCTTCAGATTTTCTGCTCATCTCTAGACAAGGTGACACAATTGCCACCTCGATAAACCATAGAACATGTTGGAAAGCTTAACTAGATGTGCATCAATATCTTTTATGGAATGTTTGGTAAAGGAGATTATATTAAAGGCCAGCTTTCCTAATACCCATTTCATTGACCACCAACCTAGCACCAATTTGGAGGTCTTTTGTTGTCTACGAACCCTTATCGGTTTTTTTCCCTGGGCTGGCCATCTAAAATAAATTTAAAAATGGATCCACTGGGTAATGGGGACGACATTGGGGTAATGGAGACTACAGTAGCTCTTTTTACCGCAAGGTGCAATTTTTATTTAAAATGTTTATAATAAAAACAGCATAAATTAACAGAAATCAGACTTTTATGAACCTCTAGTTCTAGAACCTGAACTAGTAAAAAAATAATTAGGATCTGATAAAAAAACAGTAATACTTACATCGACAATAAGTAGCACGTATGGAGAGATCAATATTGTCAAATTTCACTCAAATCCGGTCAACGGTTTAAAATAACTGAGCCATCGCAGCTCAAGGTCGCATTATGTTAAGGTGTTCCAATCTTCATATCCGTAATAATTAGGTGGTCCCATTACCCACTGGCTCTCATTTCCCCAATCTCCACTACTTTTGTTTTTATAACAAAAAAGTAAATGCTAAAGAATATCGAAACCATGTAATTATTAGCCTAATGAGTAATGCGGTGAAAAATTTTATTCGGAAAATTTAGATTAATAGTAACCACTTTGTGAAATAACAAAAAAATAGAATAGAGAGAGAATGACATAACTGACAAAAACTACAAACATTGATTAAAAGACATAAGATCTACAAATGTGTCTTTAAAAACTGCTTCATATAAAACTCCAGCCAGATATAAATTTCTAATTTAACATTATATTCAACTATTTGTATGTTAATAGCCATGTTGTTTGTTTCAGTGATCTGATATAGTAATCTACTTGCTCAAAATCAACCAATATGATGGCCGACAAAGCAGTATCTACTGAAGACCTTTGCGGCGACCAGCAAAAGGTCAGTGTCGCCGTTAGTCTCGTTCGCTTGGAGGCTATACTTCAAACTTTAATAGAAAATAAGGTAGAAGCGCTAAGAAACGAGAGCCGCAAGACTTCTAGTATTCATTCCAGTCAAAAGTCCATTTTGAAGCGTTTAAGACTCACATCGACTTCAAGCCAAAGCACTACCAAAGAAGAGAATGAGAAGGAAAGGGGGAAGAAAACAGCACTAGTAAATACAGATTTGCCTGTAAAGCATGATCATGTAGTGGAAGTGGAGAAAGTAGTCAGAAAGTCAGGTGCGTATAAATTTTTTTTGGCATCAAAATGCAAAACAATCGGAGAAACACTACAGTTCCTTACTATTGTTGTTAAACCCTCGAATATACCATCTTAAATAATATTTTTTTAATATGTTTTGTTTTGGTTTAATGCATGATTTGAAATTTTAAACAGATACTTCAGCCTTCAACAAGAGATCTGCCTCTATTATTATATATGAATCTTATATTATTAATATTTTATTTTATTGATATATTTATCTTGCGTTTATTGTTTCTACTTACAGCTTTAAAGAAGGAGTCTTCCATTTCTTCGGCTAGCACAATTCAGCAGTGCGCATGCAGAATGCCCAGTTTCGAAGTATCTTCATTAATTAGCGACGATGATAGAAACAGAGCAATGCAGTACGACAATATTTATATGGATGGCTGTTCATCTCTTAATGAGAGACCACCAAGTTGTTATTGTAATCCTAAGTTGGAAGGGCAAACGTAAGTTAATTATTATATTCTATTTATTTTTACATTAGAGCGCTGAAGTTGCTTTTCGCGCGAGCAGCTGTCTGTTGATAACAAGATTCTCTTTACACTAAATGCAAACAAATATAGTTGCACTTCCTTTTCAACTCCCTGCTACATTTCGAATCTGACACTTTATGACATTTGGCATTTTACACTTTTGGATTAAATTTTGTGCTAATTAAACTACTGGTCTACTTTTCTACATTTTACATTGGCTTTTAAATAAATTTCTCGTAATATATGTGATTGTTTGTTGACACATTTTCACCGGCAGTTCTAAAAATTGCGATTTAAGGTCGATTCAAACACATCAGTCCATATGGCGTCCATCATTCATATTTCTATTAAAGAATATTTTGTATGACGGATTGTTCGGTTCGGCGTCGAAACTGTGACGAGACGTGACTGATGTGTTTGAATCTACCTTTAGGTGCTATTTTTTCCGAAAGTTATCTGTTATAATCCGGTCGTAGGACAGCCAAATGTTTTCTTGTACATATTTTATTTATTCCTTATAACCATTCCAGTATTCTGGAATCCTGCCTGTACAGATCAACTGTTGTACCATACGGTTTTTGTAGTCTCCATAAAGTATTTGCCACCTATGATCTAGTGCCTTGCACTCATGCACAATCTGGATGATTATTTTGGATTCATTGTTACAATGACTGCAGTTAACTCTCCATGAAACATCTCGATTGTGTTAGGTATCGTTTGACTGGCTGATGTCCTAGTCATGCCTAGTGACTCTGGACTCTGGACCGAAGAAGTTTGTTGCTAATTCTCTTTTGACAAGTTCATACGATCTTCCATTGCCGTGTATTTACCTATACCATTGAAACACTGTTATATTCCGCTAGTATCTCTTGGCATTTCCACTAGAGACTATCTTAGGGCTTCTGTCATTGCCGATTTACTATTTATGTCTGTACGGATCCAGTTAAATTTAGTAATTTTTATGTCAATTTCTTTTGCACAAAGCAAAATTTCATTAATCCTATTCTCTACCTAGAATAAAAATATTTACATTTCCTCCCGCACTGTAGATTTTTACAGCAAACCCTTCTACATGGTTGGGCCTGTTTGTGTATCAGATATAACCCTAAGGTCTGGTTTATATGCTTCGTCTGCTCGATTTCTCTCAAAGGCAAATGTCCTTATGGTATTCCTGCTTTACAACATGATATTTAATATATATATATATATATATATATATATATATATATATATATATATATATATATATATATATAAATATATATATATATATAACATAACATAATATTTTTACCTTTCTCTTATAATGACCTTCAGATGTAGAAGATCTCCCTAGCCGCTATTAATGTGCCCTCAGATCTTGTCATTTCAAGGCAAGATGTTCTTTGTATCTTGCTTATTTTGAGATTGGCATTTGTTTGCTATAACTTCGACTACCACACTACTGCATATGATATTGTTGGTTTTATTATAGTTCCATAAATTCAAAATTACATGTCTGGTGTTTATTACTCATCTAAACTACATCTTTGCATGACTGCATCTGGCTACCATTCAAATAGTCACCATTAAAATACTCAATATAGTTAGTAGTTCTACATGCTGATTACAAGTAAGAAAACACCCCAAGGTACTTTATTTTACTCACCAGGTTTATACTTTTACCATTCTATTCAATTAAATTACATATAGATATATATTTCCGAAAGAAAAAATTCAACTAAAAACTATTTTTTAAAAATTACAAACGCCTTATATAAATAAGAATAATAAAAATAACAGTAAAATATTATCACCTATATGTATATTAAACTGTCTTTTAGAACTAAATCAATTAATTTTTCTGTTTCCGAACGCGTTCTCTGTCTTTCTGTGAATACAACGCCAGACAGCAACACTCGTATTCATAGTCCGTCTCCAGCCAGCGCGTCGCTGGCTGTTCACCACCATATCTATGTTTCATAGTCGACCTACAGCTTGTTTGACGCAAGCGTAAAGCATCTCTCGGTCTGTAGATCATTGTGTCATCCATGGAATACGTCCATGGTGTCATCAAATACGTCTACGTTTTCATATCGAGTAGTAAGTAGCCGATCGCCCACTAGCGGTTCTCCGAAGATTGACTATGAAACAGGGGATGAAATCTCGATGGAGAGTTCGCTAACTGAAGAGCCGCCGGCGACTCTTCCTGGCGAACAACTATGAATACCACTCAAGAGTTCGCACTGACCGCCGAGTTCTGACCGCTGGCAGTGTATATTATTAGATTAGGACTACAAAGAACGCAGAACTGAGAACGCCTGACCGCTGTCTGTGTGGGCGCGGGCTAAAAGATATAATCCCTCTAAAGGATACCCCCCATTAAGATAGGTAAAATGCCCTCACTCCCTGAACTTTTTTTAGCCACTCCCTGAATTTTTTCTAGCCAACTCCATCCTCCCACCCCTAACCAACAAAAACGTCAATTTTTCGTTTTTATTTTGGTTTTAGGTAAGATGCAATCAATTTAGAAATTTCAAAAAAATTCTAAACGCGCTTAGTTGAGACTTTTAGAAAACATCTCTCTCTTCAATCCTGACCCCCCAGGGGGAGTGTAGTGGTCGACGTGATGTCGTGTATTGTCCGTCTCCAGAGATCTCTGTCTCTGGTCATTTCTTTTAATTTATGCATAGGTCTTTGGCATATTCCTGTAATTTGATCTATCCATCTTGTTGGGGATCTTCCTCGTGATCTTCGGCCTTCAATCTTTACATTGAGTCTTTCCATGTTTTCTGTGTTTGCTCTTATAACATGCCCAAAATATTTTAATTGTTGGAGATGGACTTTACTAGAGAGTCGTTGGCTAACTTTTACCTTCTTAAAATTGAATTATTTGTTCTACGGTCGGTCCAAGGAATTCGTAACATTCGTCTCCAACAGAACATTTCAGTGGCGTCTATCTTTCTTCTCACCGATTGTCTCAGAGTCCAAGATTCACATCCGTAGGTCAGTATTGGAAATATTAAGCAGTTGATCAACCTCATCTTTATCGCTCTTGAAATTTGACAGTCCTTCCATATTTTGGTCATTTTTGCTGTGGCAACTTTTGCTAGATCACATCTACGTTTAATCTCTTCTTGTAATGACCCTGTGTTTGTGATTAATGATCCCAGATATAAGTATGAGCTCACAACCTCGAACCGGTCAATTGTGGTTATGTGTGGATGATTGTTGTGTAGTCTATCCACTATCATGATCTTTGTCTTTGATATCGTTAATTGCAGACCAAATATTTGACTTTCATTTTCGATCAGTCGTATGAGTTCTATCAGCTCTGCTTGACTATTTGCAAGAAGGGCTGTGTCATCTGCGAAACGTAGGTTGTTTAGTTTATGACCATTTATTGGGATGCCCTTTTTCCATCCTTCAAGTGCTCTTCGCATAATATACTCCCCATATATGTTGAATAATTGTGGATATAGTATAGCATATAGTTCGGTTATAAGCGTAATTAGATGTTGTGGTACGCCTACTTCTTTTAGTATTCGCCATAAGTGTCTCCACTTGACCCTGTCGAACGCTTTACTTCTTCTTCTTCTTAAGGTTCCATCTTCTAACGAAGGTTGGATATCAACATGGCAATTCTTATTTTACTTACAGCAGCTCTAAATAGTTGGCTAGAGCTCAGACTAAACCATTCCCTTAGATTTCGTAGCCAGGAGGTTCGTCTTCTTCCTACATCTCTTTTACCTTTTATTTTGCCCTCTATAATCAAACGCTTTACGGTAATCTATAAAACAGATGTATAGTGGGATGTTGAATTCCCTAGATTTCTCGATTATCTGTCTTATATTCAGCAGGTGTTCTCGAGTGCCTCTACCTTTGGTAAATACAGTTTACCATAGTCTCTTTTTAATAGATCCGTAGGTTGAGCGTACGTTTTTTTTTCGGAGGTAATTTTAGTTCCAATTTTATATCTATCTCTAATTTTAAGAGATTTTTTTCATTTTATAGACTCAAAAATCATAGACAGATAATATACTTCTCCAAGAAATTAACACACCACATTGAAATTTTAAAATATTTTATTAGCGTTAATAAAAATTTCCATTATAATGGAAATATATTTTGCAAGCCCCTTGTATATGCTATTCGTACACTCTATATTTATTGACTGTTTTATCGTTATAGTTTTTTTTTAACAAAACTAAAAGAAGAAAAAAATGTACTAATTCTATAAATATCCTAATTTCCAAGTGTGCACGAATTTTATTCGGCTACTGTTTAATTGTTGATTATTGTTAATTGTGTCAATCATATAATTTAACTCGAGATAAATGTGCTCAAGCAGTGATACTGTCGGAAGAAGGTTGGAGTTACCGAAGAATTGGTCGTCGGTTTAATGTGTCCCACACATCCGTCTCACGGATGTTAGAAATATACCTCGAAACAGGGGATCATACTCGCAGACCAGGGCAAGGACGAAACCGGGTAGCTACCCCTATTCAAGATAGATTTTTAAGAATTTCTGCTCTTCGACAACGTTTTGTAACATATCGAAGTCTACGAATTTAGCTGCGAGACGTGCATGCTATACAAATTAATACTGAAATTGTTCGCCAGATACTTAGGGAATAAAACTTAATACCTAGGATTGCCGCCCGAGGTCCTTTATTAACTGCAGAGCATCGGAGGGGGAGACTACATCTTGCCAGAGAATACGTTAATTGGTTAAAGGCTGACTGGGAACAAGTGCTATTTACTGATGAATCCCGATTTTGTTCGTACAATAACGATAGACGTTTTCGTGTGTTGCGACGACCCAACGAATGATATGCTCAGTGTAACTTCCACACACCACATTTTTTTTGTGGAGGATCCGTTATGATGTGGGGTGGTATTTCTTTGACCGCACGTACGTACCTAGTGGTCATACAAAATGGAAATGTTACAGCTGAAAGGTACATATTGGAGATCCTGGAGCAACATTTAGT